GAGGCGAAGGAATTGGGAATAGGGGATAGCATTTTTGCAGGAAGGTGGGTGGGAGGAGGAGTATTCTAGGTAGCTGTGGGAGTCGGTGGGCTTGAAATGAATATCGGTTTCTAGGTGGTTGCCCGATATGGAGACAGAGAGGTCCAGGAAGGGGAGAGAGGTGTTAGAGATGGTCCAGGTAAACTTAAGGTTGGGGTGGAAGGTGTTAGTGAAGTGTATGAACTGTTCGAGCTCCTCGTGGGAGCACGAGGCGGCGCCGATACAGTCATCAATGTAACGGAGGAAGAGGTGGGGTTTAGGGCCGGTGTAGGTACGGAAGAGGGATTGTTCCACGTAACCTACAAAGAGGCAGGCGTAGCTTGGGCCCATGCGGGTACCCATGGCTACCCCCTTTGTCTGTAGGAAGTGGGAGGAATTGAAAGAGAAGTTGTTGAGTGTGAGGACGAGTTCGGCTAAGCGGATGAGGGTGTCAGTGGAGGGGGACTGGTCGGGCCTGCGGGACAAGAAGAAGCGGAGGGCCTTAAGGCCATCTGCATGGGGAATGCAGGTGTAGAGGGACTGGACGTCCATGGTAAAGATGAGGTGTTGGGGACCGGGGAATTGGAAGTTCTGGAGGAGGTGGAGGGCGTGGGTGGTGTCACGGACATAGGTAGGGAGTTCCTGGACCAAGGGGGAGAAAATGGAGTCGAGATAGTTGGAGATCAGTTCGGTGGGGCAGGAGCAGGCGGAGACAATGGGTCGACCAGGGCATTCAGGTTTGTGGATTTTGGGAAGGAGATAGAAGCGGGCAGTGCGAGGTTGGGGAACGATGAGGTTGGAGGCCGTGGGTGGGAGGTCACCGGAGGTGATGAGGTTGTGGATGGCTTCCTCTACATCGGGGAAACCAAGCGGAGACTCGGGGACCGCTTTGCAGAACACTTACGCTCGGTTCGCAACAAACAACTGCACCTCCCGGTCGCGAACCATTTCAACTCCCCCTCCCATTCCTCAGACGACATGTCCATCCTGGGCCTCCTGCAGTGCCACAACGATGCCACCCGAAGGTTGCAGGAACAGCAACTCATATTCCGCTTGGGAACCCTGCAGCCCAATGGTATCAATGTGGATTTCACAAGTTTCAAAATCTCCCCTCCCCCCACCGCATCCCAAAACCAGTCCAACTCGTCCCTGCCTCCCTAACCTGTTCTTCCTCCCACCTATCCCCTCCTCCCACCCCAAGCCGCACCTCCATCTCCTACCGACCAACCTCATCCCGCCCCCTTGACCTGTCCGTCCTCCCTGGACTGACCTATCCCCTTCCTAACTCCCTACCTACACTCACCTTTACTGGCTCCATCCCCGCCTCTTCGACCTGTTTGTTTCCTCTCCACCTATCCTCTCCTCTATCCCTCTTCTATCCGCCTCCCACTCTCTCCCTATTTATTTCAAAACCCCCTTCCCCTCCCCCTTTTCTGATGAAGGGTCTAGGCCCGAAACGTCAGCCTCTCTGCTCCTATGATGCTGCTTGGCCTGCTGTGTTCATCCAGCCCTGCACCTTGTTGTCTCGGACTATCAAGGGATCTCTGTTTTCTTATATTTAAAAATTAAACCATACAGTCTGACACATCAACTCCTAATATAAAGCCAGCAGCCTCTTTATACATGGTAATGGATCCCATTAACTCTGCTCTGTCATTTATAATGAATGCTGTTTAAGTATCATGTGATCATGGGCCCGGCTCTGGACAAAACTGTTCTTTTAACGTGCACTGCAGACAGTTCATGTGCATGAGAGGCGACCTCAGAGGATCAGATTTCCACCTCATTTAAAATGCACGGCTGAGACCTTGGTGAACAACAAAACCTCCTTTGTTAACTTAAAAAATCCCTGAAGACATGAACAAAGAACTGGAATTTGAAATGTTAAATGATTTAAATGTTATTTAATGAACATGCCTTAGGTATAGATGTTAAAACACCAATAATGGAGGAAACTATTTTGACATTCGCTATGCCTGTTGGTATCACAGTTAAGTTTATAAGGCTAAATGAAACAGACAGTTTATTGTGCATATATATTAGTTGCAACTTTGTATTTCATATCCTTCACAGGCTACTTGTGATTTCCTTATGTGACACCCCTCTGTGCTGTCCAACATTGCCAGCCTCTATCACTGCTGCCTGACAGGTCATTGATGTGAACAAATCTCGACTGTCCTTGGTCTGCATCTCTTTCCCCTGTTGATTTATTCTCTTCTTTTCTTTGAGTTTCTCACCTCATCTGGAGTTTCCTTTATACTCTACATCGAGACGAGATGACTGGACTTCCTGCAGGAAGCATTTCAAACATGAAGATACATCAAGCAGCTCCACTGGTCAGTGTTGGTGTCATGCTAACTTTTTCAATGGCACGTCTTAGTTGAGCACTTCCAATTATTGGCTAGTTATGGCTACTCATTGATTATGGGCTAGACAGTAAGATTTCTGAATAACTGTTTACGATAGCCTGAACAAAAATTAGTTAGCATGAAATGCATTTTTAAAATACAAATCAAAATTTTCCATTTCTTGCATTGCGAAGAACTTTTAATTTCACTAAAGGCACAAAACTAGAAATATTGAATTCATTGTTGATGATACAGACCATCTGGTTCTGCATTCCGATGAAGTCAAAAATAAGCATCAGAACTCAATATTGATTTAAACTTGTTAAAAGCCAGCCATTTCCAGAGATAAGTTATTTGAATTTGTGTTTAGCTAAAAAAGTAGGAAAATGATGGACAGATCCAAATACAATCCAGAGACATAGAAACATATGAAACAGGAGCAAGGCTTGACTCCTCAGGTCAGTTCTATGATTTAACAGGATCATGATTACTCCACATTCCTACCTACCCTCAATAACCTGTCACTCCCTTTCTTATCTTGAATTTATCACCTCTGCCTTAAAAATGTTCAAAGGCCTTGCTTCCACCACTGTGGAACAAAGACAATACTCTCTGGGAAATTATTTTTCTTCATCTCTGTCTTAAATGGGTGAACACTTTTTTAAACAGTGACTCCTAGTTGCAGATTCACCCACAATAAGAAACATCCTTTCTCCATCCTGTCAAGACCACTTGGGATTTTATATGTCTCAATAAAATCATCTCTTACTCGTCTGAACTTCAGTGAATGCAAGCCTAGCCTATCCAACTTGCCCTAATTAGATATCACAGTCATTCCGAGCAATCCTTGTCCGAACTGCTTCCAATGCATTTACATCTTTCCTCAAATAAGGAGGCCAATCCCATCTGCAGTTCCTCAGATGTGGTCTCATCAATATCCCACA